CAGAAGTTTGGCAAGGAAACGCAAATATCAGGTAAGTATTTTCTTAAGTGTACTGACATCTTTTCCATTTCTACCATTCGATTACACTCTAGGCAGTTACGGTTATGCATCTCACTTTTGGTATGAAGAATATTATGACGATTTTGAACAAAGTCTGCCGGCAAAGACGTTAGATGCAAAAACCTTGCATATTGCCTTAAGCTCTCAACACGTTTGTTGACTTTTTCAGTATGATTCAATACAGAAAAATATCATTCCTTCGGGACATTTTTAGATTGTGTGGAGAAAAAATAACGCTCCCAGCCAAAGTGCCCTGCGCATACTGTAGGCTTAACTGAGACGATGCTGAAATATGTCCTTTGTAAACTTACGGCGGATAACCAATCAAATAGTAGTGTACAGTACATGATGTGTCTCAAAACCTTAGCGTAAATTCCGAAATATAATATTAGTTAAAGGGAATTAGGATAGGACTGTACCACTTGTTCTCATGCAGCATAATCTCAAGTTACACCGGGAGGCTGGCTTCTGAATGCGCGTCTTTTCTTCCGTCTGTAAAAATCTCATTTACTAAAATGACTACTTGTATCTTAGTATTTTTCTCATTGGGTTTCAACGCCCTTATAGCTTCAGACCTGTTTGATAGAAACCCTACGCAAAATACCTCTTCCTTTACTCGTTTTCTATAAAGATGTATCATTTAAAAATTTTGTACTTCAGGAAATTGCATTGTTCAATCTCAAGCAAGTTCCTAATTATAAGATCTTTAGAGACAGCTAACTGTCTATTCAAGCATTATTTTATCCATGTTTTGCCGACGCTGCTGGTGAAGTATACAATTTGATCAATATCCGTTTCGAAACTGTATTAGCCCCTACTAGCATGGGGCGATTTGAGATTTTACTTTTGCAGAAGGTATAGAGCGTGTGGTTTGGAAACCCTCAATGCAATTTCGACGGCAGGTGTGGTTTAAAATATTCTGCCAATTGAAAAGCGTTTTGAAACCGAGCATTACATCTATTGATATAGAATTTGAGTAAAACATAAACAAATACAAGAGCAGATCTATTCGTTCTCACGTTTCTGTAAAATAAGTTTTGATTTATTAGGGCGTCGTAGGAATGGATCCATATAAGTAGTCCTTTGCAATTCTAATATATGATGACCACTACTACAGCTCTAACCAAGCAGTTTTTTTCTAGCCGAGCGCATATTTCATGATTTCCGTTAGTGTTTTGTAAGACATGTCGCCTACTTTACGCACTCTCTAGTCTCTCTCTCTCAAATGACATTAATGCATGATTGAGGGAAATAAGTCAGCAGAGAATTGTGAGAAAATCGATCAAGTTTCTACTAAGCTCATTCTGGAGCCTGCTTCGTAGTAAAGGCCACTAACGGTCCTACCTTGTCTTCTTTTCACAGTATGATAAAGAACCAAAGTTCATATAAGAGAATATTGATTTTTTCATTTATCATCTTGTTATAGAACCCACAGGGTCCGCCGAGAAAACTCAGATTCCATTATTTAGACTTGCTGGGTCGGTCTGTTACCATCGTCCTTAGTTCACGCTCGTTTTTCACTGGACAATCTTCCCGATTTCCAGCCCTGATTAGCACTAAATTTAGACTGGCTTCTGTTTTCGAGAGAATGTTTAAACTCCAGTAAGTCTCTTCACACCAGACGGAGTGTTTATGCAAGTCCGTGTACGAGTTGTTAAGTACAATCTCATGGGCCACGGCTATGACCCAAACAATTCGAGTTGCAAGAAGGGTCCTGCTAAGTTAACTATCAATATTTTAAACATCCTGACGAAGCTAACACGCGTGGCATCTATCGGGATTACACACTCGAGTCCAGATTTCAAGGCTTTCATGCCTTTGCTGTACAGCGTAAATTGAAGGAAGATAATTCTTGCAATTATCATGTACATTATTATATGCACTTCCACGATTATGACACCTTGTAAGGCTTATTATTTGCAGCCCCTTAAGTTTCACAGCACATTTACGATCATCGATAATGATGCAATCAATGTTAGTGGACCTTCAGGTCCTCATTGTGCAGATAGCAAGGCTATGTGCTGTACACTTCCTTTTTGTTGCTACAATTAAACAGTCAGCTATAACATCTTGGACAAAGAAAGCATTTACTTGCTCGGGTTCACTTCACAATCGAAAGACAAGAACATAGCGACAAACAAGCCGTGCTTGCGCATCGATTCTAAATTGTCGGGATTTGTTGTAGCCCTCAGTTTACTTCTCCCATCCACGAGCGCTCCATTTTCTTTTATCCTGCTTTGTCTCAATACCTTTAATGACCTATTTTCTTATTTCTTAGGTTCTCTCCAAGATAAGACAAGGCTATGTTTGGGACGAATTCTATCACCGAATGGTGAAACCCAAGGATATGGCTGCTTGGCAGGTCGAGCAGGATCAAATATTTACAGAGAATCTGGGTAAAGATATTTCAGAAAAGCTAGCTGAAGCCGAAAAACCCGCAGAAGTTTACATACCCGAAAAATGGAGACTTGAATGAACCGCTAGCCCCTATTTGTACAGTTTTTTTATGGACCACTCATTGACCCATTTTTGAGTTCTTGACGAATAAAATTCGAATTAATCCCATTTTTGCAACACTACTTCTCCCAAGTATGTGCCAGTTTCCCCTTGAAAAAACCTGCGCTTCGGAGGCATAATTGTACTTGTTACGGCCGTGGTCATGCTTGGTGTAGTCTAGATTGATAACGTCGCGGATTATACCTCTCCGTGCGTGAAGATTTTCGGCAGCGTACCTGCATAGCTCAATCCATTCCCAAGAACCGCTTCCATGTTCTGATGAACTGTGTCGAGCCAGGTCTTAAGTTGACCCCTTTTTCAATACACCTAGGTTGGCAAGAG